AGATTTGTACAATTATGAGCGTTCGACAGGCAAGGGATAAACATTTACACAATTTTCAGTGTCCAACAGCGAAGGGATAACTATTTACATAATTTTGAGTGTCCGACAGGCAAGGGATACAGATTTACACAATTTTGAGTGTCCGGTAGGCAAGGGATACAAATTTACAAAATTCTGAGTGTTCGACAGTCGAAATATAAAGATGTACACAATTTTGAGGGACAGGCATCAGATACAGATTTACACAATTGTGAGTGTCCGACAGGCAAGGGATAAAGGTTTACATAACTTTAAGTGTCCGACAGGCAAGGGATAAAGGTTTACATAAATTTAAGTGTCCGACAGGTAAGAGACAAAGATTAACATAATTTTGAGCAGCAGAAGGCATGGGATAAAGATTTACCTAATTTTGAATGTGAAAAGCAAGAGATATTAATGTACACAATGTTGAGTGTCTGACAGGCAAGAGATACAAATTCACACAATAATAACAGTTCGACAGAGAAGATATAAAGATATATACAATATTGAGTGTCTGATAGGCATAAGACACAGATTGACACAATGTTGAATGTCTGATAGGCATAAGATACAGACTGACACAATGTTGAATGTCTGATAGGCATAAGATACAGATTGACACAATGTTGAATGTCTGATAGGCATAATATACAGATTGACACAATGTTGAATGTCTGATAGGCATAAGATACAGATTGACACAATGTTGAATGTCTGATAGGCATAAGACACAAATTGACACAATGTTGAATGTCTGATAGGCATAAGAAACAGATTGACACAATGTTGAATGTCTGATAGTTAGTTAGTTAGTTAGTTAGTTAGTTAGTTAGTTAGTTAGTTGGGTTATCCTCATTGCACTCCGGACATGTCCATAGGTGCTCAGATCCTCCCCTCAGTATGAACCCCAACGTCCGATGGCTAATAGTACCAGTTCTATGTTGATTAACAAGTCTTCTGGCGTAGCTGGTGTGCGTCTCGTTTTTTGCTGTGCCGATCTTAATTCCCAAGTCTGCCATTCTGGCGAGTGATGTGGATTCACTGCCACCAAAGTCCTCTATTCTTCCCATTTATCTGAGGGCATTGATAATATCAGCATGATCCATAGGCTGACCGTCGGTAGTGATAGCGGATCCAGCCAACCTGTCAGCTCTTTCATTTCCATCGACGCCTGCGTGTCCCGGAACAAAAATAAAGGTGATTCCACGAACAGTGGACTTCTGTAATGATTCAAGCCATTGTCTTCGCACTGAACCTGCCTGAACCCTCCGGATCATACTCATTGAATCACTGAGTATACACACGCGGGTGTATTTTTGTGTTTTCAAGCCAGGCAAGCGCTTGTGTCACTGCCATCACCTCCATCGTCATGCTGCTGGTTGTCATGGAGAAGGCGCCGTTGGCTTCTTTGACTGTTCTGCCCGCTGAGCGTGCTGTAAATGCCCATGCGCTTCTTCTTTGGCGTATAACGGATCCGTCTGTATAGATTATTGCATCTGCTTCATCTGAATTTTTCACCGATGAGAGCGTTGACCTCTGCATTAACAGCAACAGGATTCTCTTCTCTACATCGCCTGTTGAGTGTGACAATACAGGAAAATGTACAAATAAACGCCTGAGGCACAGGTATCCATTCTGCACCAGGTATGATGTCGGTTAGGCTGCATATTTGCCTAATGACATCTTCTGCCCGACCTAGCCACGATTTCCCCCTCTTCAGTCTGTCGCCCTTTTCACTAAAAAGCGCTTGATGCAGTGGGTGTTTCTTATCAGCGCATATTTGAGATATGCCCGAGCCCTCCACATCCTGATCCTTGGTTCATTGTTGGAAAGTCAAGTAGATACCTCATTGCTCCACAGAATGTGTCTCTAGTACATCCCAAAATAATGCGCATGGCTTCATTTTGCACCTTTTCGAGTCGTTCAATCTAGGTAGCACTGACAGTGAGGATGGCCAGAGCGTATTCTATGGGGGAAAGGACCAGACCGTAGAATAGAAGTATTAGTAGTCTTTGCTCAATATTGGAAGCAGCCATATTCCTCATTGCAGATAGACCTTTGCGTGCTTTTGTTATCACATGGTCAACGTGTTCCCTGAATGACAAGCTGCGATCGAACCTCACCCCGAGAAACGTCATAACGTTGGTTCTGATCAATGCATTATCACGCATTTTCACTTCTGGTAAGTCCGACTTGACAATGTGATTGTTCAAAGAGAACCATGACACTGATGCCTTCGAAGGATTGACATAGGCATTGGAACCATCACACCAGGCGGCAATTCGATCGAGTTCTTTGTGCATAGTGCTGGCGATCTCCTGTCTATCACGCCCTCGACGATAAATAAAAATGTCATCAGCAAATGACAAAGTCCTTCCCTTTCCATTCAACTGCTGCTCAGTGATCATCACCGTGTAAACGTTGAATAAGACTGGTGATAGCGGTGATCCCTGTGGCAAGCCTGGACATATCATTTGCGGTTCGGAATGTCTGATAGGCATAAGATACAGATAGACATAATGTTGAATGTCTGATAGGCATAAGATACAGATTGACACAATGTTGAATGTCGATAGGCATAAGATACAGATTGACACAATGTTGAATGTCTGATAGGCATAAGATACAGATTGACGCAATGTTGAATATCTGATAGGCATAAGATACAGATTGACATAATGTTGAATATCTGATAGGCATAAGATACAGATTGACACAATGTTGAATGTCTGATAGGCATAAGATACAGATTGACACAATGTTGAATGTCTGATAGGCATACGATACAGATTGACACAATGTTGAATGTCTGATAGGCATAAGATACAGATTGACGCAATGTTGAATATCTGATAGGCATAAGATACAGACTGACACAATGTTGAATGTCTGATAGGCATAAGATACAGATTGACACAATGTTGAATGTCTGATAGGCATAAGACACAGATTGACACAATGTTGAATGTCTGATAGGCATAAGATACAGACTGACACAATGTTGAATGTCTGATAGGCATAAGATACAAATTGACACAATGTTGAATGTCTGATAGGCATAATATACAGATTGACACAATGTTGAATGTCTGATAGGCATAAGATACAGATTGACACAATGTTGAATGTCTGATAGGCATAAGACACAAATTGACACAATGTTGAATGTCTGATAGGCATAAGATACAGATTGACACAATGTTGAATGTCTGATAGGCATAAGATACAGATTGACGCAATGTTGAATGTCTGATAGGCATAAGATACAGATTGACGCAATGTTGAATGTCTGACAGGCATAAGATACAGATTGACGCAATGTTGAATGTCTGACAGGCATAAGATACAGATTGACGCAATGTTGAATGTCTGATAGGCATAAGATACAGATTGACGCAATGTTGAATGTCTGACAGGCAAGGGATAAAAGTGTACATAATTCTTAATGTCGGCATGCAAGAGATAACAATTGACACAATGTTGAGTGTCCGACAGACAAGAGATCAAGCGAGCATGGACACTGTCCACTGTTTTGCTGGGCGGCGGGTGTCTAAGAGGTTAAGGGACACTGTTTTTACTTGACCTTGCAGAAACAACTATTGCAATTTTTTGGGCTGTTTCGGTTTAACTAAGCAAACTTATGCTGTGTAGTTTGCCATTTTTAAATGAACTGTCGGCTCTCAGTTAACACTGTTGATGCTAAAACAAGGCGGTTTCCTGCTCAATCGCCTACAGCTAGGATTAAACCCGGCACTTTGGCATTACGAATCGCGTTCGCAACGCCTAAGCCACAGTTGCCGAGAATCAAAACATTAACAATCTGTTGTTGTTTTTTTGTCTCACGAATTGTGCTATATCTGGCCAGGTGCCTCCTATACAGTTAGGTCTACACACAATGAAGCACAACAGTTAATCCTTTTATTCCCTCCCGCTCCCCCCCCCCCTTGTTGGTGCTATAATAATGGGGGTAAATACGGCAGACAATCAGTTCTTCAATGGCTTGTTCGTGTCCGCATTTTTGAAATCCACAAAAGGAAAACATTATTTTAAAATACTTGGCATTGTTTCACCATAGGTGGCTACTTCTAACATAAACTCGTATGTGAAGGATATAATTAACATACTATCAGGAAATCGCATTGTTGTGAAATAGAAGGAAGGGCTTTCCATCATAAATACTATCGGTGAATTTTGCCAATTAGTTATTTAAAACATAAAACTAACAAATATGTCTGAGGTAAATTAAACAAATTTGCGTGACTTCAGGAACCTCCTTTGGCAGTGGTTAAACGTCACAAAGTAGTTTAGCAGTGGTTAAACGTCGCAAGGTAGTTTGGCAGTGGTTAAACGTGGCAAGGTAGTTTGGCAGTGGTTAAATGTCGTAAGGTAGTTTTGCAGTGGTTAAACGTCGTAAGGTAGTTTGGCAGTGGTTAAACGTCGCAGGATAGTTTGGCAGTGGTTAAACGTCGCAAGGTATTTGATTTGGGCACATGGTGAGACATGATTCGATTGTACTTCAAAGAACATAAGGAGAGAAAAAAAAAGGGAGGGGGGGGTGTGGGGGTGGGTGTGTGTGTGTGTGTGTGGGGGTTGGGCGTGGCTTGCAGAAGAAGAAGGGAGCAAAGAAGAACATAGGATCATTAAATCGAGAAATAAACAGGACTAAATTATTATACACTTGTTCAACAAGCGGAAATAAGATAGCGAGTTTTGACTGATTCCATGGATTCACCTCCACGACCGTAACGGGTAGAATCACCCCCACGACCATAACGGATAGAATCACATCCACGACCATAACGGGTAGAATCACCCCCACGACCATAACGGGCAGAATCACCTCCACGACCATAACGGGTAGAATCACCTCCACGACCATAATGGGTAGAATCACCTCCACGACCATAACGGGTAGAATCACCTCCACGACCATAACGGGTAGAATCACCTCCACGACCATAACGGGTAGAATCACCTCCATGACCATAACGGGTAGAATCACTTCCATGACCATAACGGGTAAAATCACCTCCACGACCATAACGGGTAGAATCACCCCCACGACCATAACGGGTAGAATCACCTCCACGACCATAACGGGTAGAATCACCTCCACGACCATAACGGTTAGAATCACCTCCACGACCATAACGGGTAGAATCACCTCCACGACCATAACGGGTAGAATCACCTCCACGACCATAACGGGTAGAATCACCTCCACGACCATAACGGGTAGAATCACCTCCACGACCATAACGGGTAGAATCACCTCCACGACCATAACGGGTAGAATCACCTCCACGACCATAACGGGTAGAATCACCTCCACGACCATAACGGGTAGAATCACCTCCACGACCATAACGGTTAGAATCACCTCCACGACCATAACGGGTAGAATCACCTCCACGACCATAACGGGTAGAATCACCTCCACGACCATAACGGGTAGAATCAGTCGTTTGTGTCTCCAGGAGGGAGAACAACTGTTTGGGGAATAATGGCTGGCATCAGCTAAATCTTATCAATGGAGAAGTTAAGTACTATCAAATTTCTTCTTCTTCTTCTTCTTCTTCTTCTTCTTCTTCTTCTTCTTCTTCTTCTTCTTCTTCTTCTTCTTCTTCTTCTTCTTCTTCTTCTTCTTCTTCTTCTTCTTCTTCTTCTTCTTCTTCTTCTTCTTCTTCTTCTTCTTTTTCTTCTTCTTCTTCTTCTTTTTCTTCTTCTTCTTCTTCTTCTTTTTCTTCTTCTTCTTCTTCTTCTTCTTCTTCTTCTTCTTCTTCTTCTTCTTCTTCTTCTTCTTCTTCTTCTTCTTCTTCTTCTTCTTCTTCTTCTTCTTCTTCTTCTTCTTCTTCTTCTTCTTCTTCTTCTTCTTCTTCTTCTTCTTCTTCTTCTTCTTCTTCTTCTTCTTCTTCTTCTTCTCTTCTTCTTCTTCTTCTCTTCTTCTTCTTCTTCTTCTTCTTCTTCTTCTTCTTCTTCTTCTTCTTCTTCTTCTTCTTCTTCTTCTTCTTCTTCTTCTTCTTCTTCTTCTTCTTCTTCTTCTTCTTCTTTTTCTTCTTCTTCTTCTTCTTCTTCTTTTTCTTCTTCAGCATTCCAAGCTCTTGAGGTTCATTGCTGCAGATATCATCCGCCTCCGTTGATCTATCTGGTTGGCCTTCTCTTTCCAGTTGGTGACACCAAGTGTTTACAGGTTCGTCTGGACGTTATCTCTCCATCGTCTTCTTGATCTGCCTCGTGGTCTACGACCATTCGTCTCTCCCTTGTGTACATAGTTTTTACTTCTCTGTCATGTGACATTATTTCAATATGCCACAACCATTTCAGTCTATTAACTCTCATAATGCCAGTGATCAGTGGTGATTTAAATCGATTATGAATTTAGTTGTTGCTTCTCACTCTCCATTCACCGCTGTTTGCAGCTTTGATTAGTCCAAAGATTCGTCATAAGACTCTGTTTTCGAAAACCTTTAATAAGACTTCAACTCTTTTAGTTGTGCTCCAAGTTTCAGAACAATATAAAACGACTGGTCTTATCAACGTTTTATATATTTTGATCTTGGTGTTGCGAGACAGTCACTTTGACTTTAGCAGATGTTGAAGGATTTTACAAATATGACTTCTCCTAAATACATAAAATGACGCAATCCATGCTTCGTTTTCCTCATTTCAGTATCCTCCCCCTTTTTTTAATCACTCCAATGTTTACATTTCCCTATCTAGTCCTTTTTTCGTCTCATTGTTCCCCTGTTGCATTTCGAATGGTCCTTTCTTTGTATCCAGGAAATATGGTTAATCGAACAAAATAAAGAATTCAACAGACAGGAATAATTTATTTAATGATTCCATAGTTAAATAATACAAATTAAATAATAATATAGCGTTCATTCTTGCTGCTGTTGCTGTCACGCTTCCTTCCTACCCCTGTCAGTAGCTGGCCCTCATACAAACGGTGTTTTTGTGTCTTCTAACACTGGAGAACATGTAGTCGCGACTGTGTGTTTTCTATTAGGTTGTATCATATATATATATATATATATATATATATATATATATATATATATATATATATATATATATATATATATATATAAAATTATTATTATTATTAATACAGAGACAATGCATTGATCGGCACTCATAGAAAGAAGTAGAAACACATAAGGACACACTGTTGTTGTATGAGCTCCACTGTGATATAAATAATTTTGAAGGTGGTTGAAACAATTTTGCTAGTCTGTGTTGCTTCTGTCTATAATTAATTATTCTATAATTACCTTCGTTGAAATGCAAGTGGGATATTTCTGTGATAAATAAAAGCAATGAAGCAACGGTGCACCATAGTTTAGCATTAATTGTTCACAAATGACCGAGACATGTTATTAATTTCTGTAAAGGAGTTCAATTAGTTTATTAACTGCTGACCTTCGGTTTTGTGTTCAGAAACTATCACCGTATCATTGTAATTACCCGTGCGCCACTCATGTTTTATATCAAGACCGTGCCGTCACCGTAATGAAGGTCTGCTTTCATAGATTGAAAACACACTGTCTTGTCTTGGAAGAGTGGCTGGCCGAACGGATAAAAACACAGGGTTTTCATGTAGGAGACCACGGCTCGAATCCAAGGTATGGTTGGGGCTGTTTTGTGTGTGTCGGGGGCAACATTGGAATCCTAACGTCCTATGTTATCCTAACATTTCGCTTTAATTGCACAGTCCGCTAAATCTACTAGCTCAAAGGATCCCGTGCCTATAGCGCAGAAAAGTGTTTTTGGGTTCAGTTGTTTTGTTAGTACCTTCTCGTAGAATGGTGTTTCCCCATTTCTTGACGGTCTCCTGCCACTTGTGCCATTGTCTACCTCTTTCTCTTTTGTACTCGTCTTTTCTCTTCTGTATGGCTTTGAAAAAGCGTTATGTCTTTTAATGCAGTTGAAACATTACAGGTGCCCCAGTTTTCTAAATTATTTCAGCAACTCTTTTTTCATATCTAGTCTTTTCAGAGCCTCTGTACTTGACTGTCTTCTTCTTCTTCTTCTTCACTTCCTCTTTTACCTCTGTGGGTGTCGAGGGAGATATAATGTTCTGTTTCTAGCTCTTCTGGCTGCCTCGACCATAGGCACATCGTGCTGTTGTAGAGTTTCTCTGATGTTATCCTTCCATCTTGTTCTTGGTCTACCCCGTGCTCTACGTCCTTCTTCTCTTTCCATGTATGCTTTGTATGGTATGGTGTCACAAGGCATTCTCTCTAAGTGGGCAAACCATTTCACTTGCTGTCTTTGTATGTAATCCAGAATTGGTTCTGTGCCGACTTGTTCTCTTATGATCTCATTCCTAATCTTATCTCTTATGGTCACTCCTACAGCCCTTCTCAGACATCTAATTTCCGTGGTTGCTAATTTTCTTTTATGGTTTGTTGTGAGTGACCATGTCTGGCACTGGTAGCACAGAGTTGGAATAAATATGCTTTGAATAAGATGTCTCTTTGTGCTGATTGGGATTGTCTTATGCTGTAAGAGGGGGGCTAGCTGTCTCAATACTTGGTTTGCTTTACTGCATCTAATGTCAATTTCTTTATCCAATTTCCCATCTTCGGTAAATGTAGTTCAAATGTACTTGACTGTGTATCCACGAAATACGACCTAGTCGTCTGTATATCCTGTGTATCCACGAAATACGACCTAGTCATCTGTACATCCTGTGTATCCACGAAATATGACCTAGTCGTCTGTATATCCTGTGTATCAACGAAATATGACCTAGTCGTCTGTAAATCGTGTGTATCCACTAAATACGACCTAGTCGTCTGTATATCCTGTGTATCAACGAAATACGACCTAGTCGTCTGTATATCCTGTGTATCCACGAAATACGACCTAGTCGTCTGTATATCCTGTGTATCCACGAAATACTACCTAGTCATCTGTACATCCTGTGTATCCACGAAATACGACCTAGTCATCTGTATGTCCTGTGTATCCACGAAATACGACCTAGTCATCTATATATCCTGTGTATCCACGAAATACGACCTAGTCATCTGTATATCCTGTGTATCCACGAAATACGACCTAGTCATCTATATATCCTGTGTATCCACGAAATACGACCAAGTCATCTGTATATCCTGTGTATCCACGAAATACGACCTGGTCATCTGTATATCCTGAGCTGGTTTTTTTAAAATACATCCTGGGCATCATTAATGAAGTGCAGTAAAGATGTTCGTTGATAACACAGCAGGCGCGCTGCAACGAAGAAAATATTGTGGGAGGAGATGTCAGGGAGGGGAATGTGAGAGCAGAGGGATTTTGCCCCCCCCCCCTCCCCCACCTTCAACTACACCCTTCTCAACAGAAAAAAAAACCACATTGAAAGTGGACTCTCAGTAACGGCTCAGCCCCTCAATCCACCTCCCCCGCTCCGTCCCTAACCACACCCTCCTGTTTCCTAGGCAAATAATTAGTTGTGCCACAACTTAAAATCATTGGGGGGGGGGGGGGGTGTTGGGTGTGCCTTGTCAACTGATCACACCAGATGTAACTTACCACAAAGCACGAACACTGTAGCTTTCAAATGTGCCAAAACGCCTTGGCTCCCAGGTCCACCAAGCCTTAACCATAGTTTCATGTAAGTTCCTAGGAAGTAAAGGCGGTCAGCGTTATGTTGACCATATCACCCACCGAGTACCGATTGATGAGTAAAATATAGGTCCTGCCCTAGGTGCCCATACGCTTCTTCTTCTTCTTCTTCTTCTTCTTCTTCTTCTTCTTCTTCTTTTTCTTTTTCTTCGTCTTTTTCTTCTCTTCCAATTTGTACCTCAATGAAGTGTCGGAGGGAGATGTAACATTCGTTACTGAGCTTTGTCAAGAACACTATTGAGACTGATGTTCATTTCAGTAAAACTTTCCTAATGCAATCACTCCATGATTTTCCGAGGTCTTCCGCTCGCTCTATACCAGTTGTGTGGCTCGCTGTGGCAAATATTACCATGACATTCTTGTTGTGTGTCCAAACCACTTCATTTGTCTTTCTTTGATAACCTGTAAGACTCTGTATTCCTAGCATTCGTCGGATTTCGTAATGTCGTAATATGTCTGTTTTTGAAACTCCTGCAGCTCGTCTGATGCATTTTATCTTTGTTTTCACAGTTTGATGTTTATTAGAGGATATGAGTGTCCACGTTAGGCATTGATAGCATAGTGTTGGCCCATAATAGTTCTGATGAAATTCAATTTAGTACTCCGGTGTATCTGCTTGTGTATCAACAGGAAAGATAATTGCACGATCACTTGATTAGCTTTGGCACATCTGGAGATAATTTCTCTGCCCAGTTTTCCGTCGGATGTAACAATTGCTCCCAAATACTTGAATTCTCCTGTTTGCTTTAAGGTGTTGTTTTTTAATTTAATTTCTAAACTGTCTTTATGTCTTTCTATCACAATTGTCTCTGTCTTCGTAATGTTTATTTTCATATTATTTTCGTCCCCTTTGTTACTTTTTTGATTT